GGGGGAGGAAAGTTCAGAAGAGGGGAAAATAAAGAGGGGGGGGGGAGTGATGTCAGAGAAAAGAAAGATTGATCGGGACGAGTGGCCTTATGGTGATAGGTAGGGGGAGGAGACGCGTGTCTTCCTCTCGCTTTTTTTCTCCTTTTTTTTTTGTTTCACGTGTCGCCCTCTGCGACGAGCTGGTGGAAACGCGATTTGGGACTTAAAAGAATTAGCTCTTTTTTCCTAAAAAAAAAGAAATGCGATTTGTCAGTCTGTACGCGGCAGCATATTTCTGTGGCAGTGCGAGGTTGTCTTCTGACTGGCTATATGGGTGTACTTTTTGTTTATATGTTATTATTTAAGAAAGGGAAGAGAAATTAGAGAATAAAACGAGAAGGAACGAACGAAGAAGAATAGCAAGGTGTGCCGTCGTTGCATCCTTATCTTGCCGTTTTTTTTTTTTTTTGGCTTGCAATGCCCTATTACTGTACTGTATCTCTTGTTTCTCCGTCAGTCCTTTTCCACCTTTCCTGTCGCATGTCCTCTAGTAGTCAATAGTTGTGCGACAATGTGTATTAGGCGGACCTGCACCAGGGCTTGCCTACATGAATCTGCCTCGGGAAACTTCCAGATTCATAGGAAAAAGACGCAGTGTGAAAATGCCCTAATGCTGCTATCATATCGTTATGGGCAGTTGCTACAAGTTGCTTCTAATTGTCTAGCTAATTATCTATGTAATTATCTAAAATTATTTACTTACATACATCGTCGAAATTATCTGGAGACCCGCACTAGGGTTTGCCTGGATGAATCTGCCTCTGGAAACATCCAGATTCACGGGTAAAAGATGCAGTGTGAAAATGCCCTAATATTGCTGTCATATCGTTGTGGGCAGTTGCTACAAACTGCCCCTAATTGTCTAGCTAAAGGTATTTACTCGTAGAAGTCATCGAAATGATTTGATTGTCTAATTATCTAATCATGTAATTATTAATATTTATTATCTAATTATTATCTAAGCATTATCTCACTAGTCTGCGACGGTCCGGTTTTTTTTTTTTTTTGTTTGTTCGTTTCACAAGAGAAAGGGAACGGTGAATGTCGTCACGAATTATCGAGTTACTCAATTGGTGATTTATGATGATGATTATTAATTGTCAGTGTACTCTGACTGGTTGCTGATGCGGTCCCTTTTCCCCCGCCCCCTTTGTAACGAACGGGGAACGGTGATCGTCGTTAAGTGATTGTAATGCTGAGGTGATGATGATTAGTGATTGGCCGAAGATCTGATTGTTCATCATTGATTAATTGATTGATTGATTGATTGATTGATTTCGTAGTAATGATGGTACCATGTCCTTGTAGTCGGTTGTTGAAATTCGGCTCGACGGAAGGCATGCTCACACCTAGGATGTGTCTACGGAAGATGGTCGCAATCACGTTCGTCTTTCCTCCCTTTCGTGTCACAGTAGAAGGGAGCGGTAAGCAAGATGATTGATGGTGATTGTTGATTAATTAAATGATTTCTAATATAAAAAATTGATGTCTGATGGTTACGATTTTTCTTGATTGATTGCTTATGCAGTCAATCAATCAAGATGATGGTGATGCTCATCAAGATGATGATGGTGATGATCCTGATGATGATGATTATCATCGCCCTGCAGCGGAGCCGGCATCATCATCATCATCATCATCATCATCAACAACATAACCATTATCATAATAATGGGAAACGGTGATCTTGACCGTTGATATAACGGTCACGATGAATGTGTCAGGGGTAGTTGAGATTCAGTGATTCCTCGGGATTGGTGAGCGCCGTTGATTGTGTGCCATATTAACAACGATTGGCGTTCTTTTTCTTTCCGTTCGTTTCCTCGAAATGCGTAAATATCTTCCTTTTTTTCTAGTTGCATATTTTTTTTCTTGTCCTCTTGAGTTGATGTACGTCCAAGTTTAGGTTAGTTTAGTTGCGTCTGCTTCGGTTCGGCTATATTACTTTTTTTCACCCCTCTTCCTCCCTCCCTACGATCTTCACACTGTATAGGCATTATCCTCATCCTCTAGACTGAAAGTTTGTTCCAAATACAGCTATAATGGCCGTACGTTGTATCCAGGGGGGGAAGACAGGTACCTCCTTCCCTTCGTAAAGCTAAAAGGGATTTCTTCCGTAGCGCGGGAGAGGTCAGGGGAAAAGGGGAGGGTGGCAAAAAGCTATTGCGGTAATTATTCTTGTTGGATGGACATTGAGAGAGGTACTAGTAACAAAAATCTGTTGTATGAAGTTTTGTTAGAGGGCCATTGAGTGCGTAGGGTAGTAGGGGGAAAGGGGAGGGTGGCAGAAAAAAAAAGCCGCTGTATATATTATATATATATTTTAAAACGAAAATTTCCTCCCTTCTCCACTTCCTCCTTCCCACCTCCTCCCATCCCCCCCCCCAACTCGAGAAACCTTGGCTTTATTGTACCGTGCCGTAGGGCTTGAACTCGAGAAACCTTGGCTTTATTGTACCTTGCAGTTAGGGTTTGGACTCTTGGCCGGTTGACAATGATGTCGTCGTGTGTGTCAAACGATCGTTATAGGAAAACGGCAACGTGGGACTGTGATAACGGTCATAGTTTTATTTCTTTCGTCTGGAAGGAAGTATATCTCTATTTTATCTGTTTATGTTATACATTATTTGTATTTGTATTTTTATTTCCATTTGTTATTTCCGTTGTGGTGTATATGGTATTTATTTTCGTTGTGGTCTATTGATTCTTATTATGAGCATTATATATTATATAAGAATTATACTTAATTTTCCTTGTGCTCCGTTTATTCTCGTTCTACGAAAAAGTTTTTTTTTGTCATACTTAGGTCATGATACTCAAAACTGGCGTTTTTGTGTATGTTGATCTGCATGTGTCCACGTTCATTCTTGATGGTCCTAGTGTAAGTCTGCCTCTAAACCTTGGAACCGTTACGTGACCTTTTTTTTGGGTAGACGTCCTCTTCAGACGACTGTGGGCACCCTATAAATTCTTCTTTTTTGGCCCTTTTTTTTTTGTGTGTGTGAGAGAGAGAGAGAGAGAGAGAGAGAGAGAGAGAGAGAGAGAGAGAGAGAATGCGATTTCCTTTTTTCTTTGACAGTCAGAAATGGAAGAAAAAGGGTTCAAAGTGACCGTTTCTACCACAAGCTAAACAATTTATTCCTAAAAGTCACGTGGTCGTGGACTGTTTCCGATCTACAAGATTGGAGAGGTCCATGACCACGTGGATTTTGAGAACAGAGGTTTCTTACAGCAGCAAGAAACTCACATTGTCGGAGACTGTATTCGATCCAAAAAGGGGGAGAGAGAGAGAGAGAGAAGCTCTATGATTCAGTCCACGACCATGTGACCATTTCTACCACGAGCTAAGCAATGTATCCTAAAAGTCACCTGGTCGTGGACTGTTTCCAATCTACAAGAATGGAGAGGTCCATGACCACGTGGATTGTGAGAACAGAGGTTTCTTAACATAGAAACTATTATCAGTTTTTTTTCGCTTTTTTGACACGCTCAGATCGAGAAATTGTCCAAAAAGTATTTCTTTTTGACCATAGAAACTAACCTTAAAAGAATCGCATAAGACTAGAACAAACGGCAACAAACAGCAACAAACAGCAACAAACAGCAACAAACAGCAACAAACAGCAACAAACGGAGAGCAATATGCCGTTCCGTTAGCTGTGCTTCCCTCCCTTTCCCGGGAAAGTATATCGGGATCGCGGTGCGTATCGGCGGGCACCCCCGTATGCTCGTTCTTTTGGTCTCTTCCTGAGGTCGTGTACATCGCACCTACCCATAATATTATTCGTTTGTCCGTCCACACTATTCGCTAGTGACCGTACATGTGGAGATTTTTGAAATTTTATTTTTCCGTAGAGACGGAGATCAACGGTCCGGAGATGTAGACGTACTCGGAATATCTTTTTTTTTCTTCAATTTGGGTACTCGAAAAATCCGATTCTGTCCGTAGATTACAGAAATCAACGATCAGAGGCGGAAGTCTGCCCTGCACTTGACGGTCTGACAACGTTTTGGAAATGACAACGTTCCCCGGCATCACCCGTCCACCCTCCAAAGGTCTGCCCTGCACTTGACGGTCTGACAACGTTTTGGAAATGAACGGGGTGGGATAGAAATGATCTCAAACTTGTAGAAAGACTCACCCAACGAAAAGAACCACGAGGAATAGAAAAGGAGGACACCGGGAGGGATTGGTCGTGGTGCAGAGGGTTCCCCTTTGGTGAGGGAGTTGGGACGTGATGTGATGACACTGAAGGCTCGAAGAGGGAGGCGGTGGGAAAGAGGTGTGTGTGTGTGTGTGTGTGTGTGTGTGAGAGAGAGAGAGAGAGAGAGAGAGAGAGAGAGAGAGAGATGGTCGCCCGATGTGTGTTTGCTCTAGGTGATACTGGCGAGATCCAACTGGTTTGTTTGATGTACCTCTGCCTTCAAAGATAGAAGAGTCCCCAGACCGTAGAAAGGGACGGATTACCGCTGAAGTCCAAAAGTAAATGGAGAAAGGAGGCAAAATGGCACATTGTGTGGCCCCCCGCCCCCAAAGGTAATGCCGCTGACATGCACAAAAGTAGTTGTTCAGAGTGGTGGATTGCAGGGGATCCATAGTAGCTGCATTTGACAGCAGCAGTCTACCGGCAGCAATATTCACGGTGATGCAAGTGTGATAATGTGGTTAATAATGACAAAAGCAAGCTATGCCCAGCATTGTCACATCGCTGACTGTGTGCCGTTGAGTACATTGTATGTATGTTTGTATGTGTGTGTGTGTGTGTGTGTGTGTGTGTGTGTGTGTGTGTGTGCGCGTGCACGCCTGACAAAATGCAGAACGGTGGGCCGTAATACTTGTGCGTTTGGATTGAAAGCAGAATAAGGTGATAGGACACAAAGTGGTGCCAATTTGAAGCCCGTTAATTATTCATAGGTTAATGTGGGGATGTGGAGATGAGTCGGTTGGGATAGGGGCATAGTACTTTCTACGGGCTGACATGAACTGACCCGGGATGGACTGTGCACTCTTCTCAACCAACCAACCAACCAACCAACCAATCAACCAATGAATCACAATCAAACAATCAATCACAATCAATCAATCAATCACAATCAATCAAACCTAGTTAAATCCCCATCACTCAATCACTCAGTCACTCAGTCACGCAGTCACTCAGTCACGCAGTCACTCGATCCATAGATTAATAAATCAATCGATCAATCAGTCACAATCAATAGATCAATTAATCGATCACTCGATCAATGGTCAATCAATCAATCAATTGATCAATCAATCGATCAATCGATCAATCGAATCAATCGATCAATCAATAGATCAGTCGCAATCAATCGATCAATCAATCAATCACCTGTTAGGTAATTAGCCAATCGAATTTGGGGATACATTCGGACATCTGGAAAGCATCTGACTTAAATCACAGCCAGTTTCAGTTAAAAAAAATGCAAGTGTGAGTCGATTCTCAGTTGAAACAGTCTGTGCTTGTGAAGGTCTTTGAATCGAGGCGAAAATGTGTGAGTTCCAACTTTAGAGAGGATGCATGTTTTTTTCCTCTATGCCACGTGTAAGCTCCTCAGCTGGTTGGGTGGGGCCTGCTCCTCTTCGATGTGTCTCTATGGGCATACTCAGATTAGGACATTCCTGGATGTAACTGACTGCGATCACAGTCTGGCCTGAATGTATATCACCGCAAGTACGTCCAGAGCGCAGTCGAAAAAGTCTTTGGGAGTATGTTCCATGGTTAGACCTGGTCTTCCTGGACGATCTGGATGGTGCTGATTCAAATCTGCTGCGCTCAGGACTACCATCTTCACCCGGATACAATGCCTGGTCATTATCAGTGCATCTGGACTGAAAGTTGCCCCGCATACAGCTATAGTGACCGGATGTTCTGTTCGGGTGAACACGGTAGGTTACTAGGAAAAATATCCGAAATGTTGTGTATGGTAAAGCGGTAGGACCCTCTTGCTAATTCTCCTCTTTTATACTAGGAAAAATCTTTGAGAAGTCTTTGTTTTTTCTTTTCTGCAATTGAACCGTGTCAACTCTTTCGCATTTTGTATCTGGTGTTGGTTATGGTACAAATTTCAGAAGTCATTAGTGACCACCATGTGGCGCCAGGGAAGTGAGGGTCTCTTCCTTACTGACACGTTCGAGTTTACTTGCATTTGTGCGTTCCTTGCTTTGTGCGCTCTCTTCTTCTGTAACGAAATGTTTGACAGAAGGAAGGATCACGCAGTCTGTGATACGAGTCTGGAGAGGCACGTGTGTCACCTCTCTCTCTCTCCGTCCCTCCTTTTTCTCTCTCCTCTTCTTTCTTTGGTTTGTTCAGTTACATGTGCAATCTGGCCCGTAGGAACAATTTTGTGGAAGCTAAAAACGTCAACACGCACCCTTCTGTATTCTTTTCCTCTACTTGTGCTTCGATGGGATTATGCTCTCGGCATCCGATGTCCGGTTGCTGCGCTGGATAATTGATCAGGCAATGAGATTGGGAACGGGAATGAGCTGAAACGATGGAGGGCCACCTTCAGGATAATGAAAATCAACGGCATTCTATATAAGAGGCTGGACCTGGAATAATAACTTGGGCTAGGTGCCGGCCTTGTAGAAAGGACTCGAGACAACAAACCGTAAGTCAAGAGCCTGCAGCGGTACCAATTGGAATGACAAGGGTGGTTTAGCAAGACCTCGAACATACAGACCACAGCACAGCAAGTGGAGCAGGATCTGGAACAAGTTCCATTGGCGCGAGCGCGGGCAGGGAACAAACGGATGACTATTGGGCTAAGTGCTCGCAGCTCGCTGACACCTGCAGCACACTGCAGTTGAGTTTACGTGAATGGATGGCAATTGTGCCGAGCCTAGACCTGGAAGACGGCCGGTGTGTTGGTGTGGCTCCTGGAACGGTGGCAGTTATGTTCTGAGCGGTAATGCTGGAACAAACGACTGTTGGGTTGAGCCCCTGAACGTGGACTTAGAGAACCATTTGGTTAGGCCCATTGCACCTTGAACAGATGGTGTTGGAGCTAATGCCTGTGTTTGCAATTGGGATGAACCAATGTAGCTGGAATGGGTAACGACCATTGAGTTCACAGGGTAGCAGAAGATGACATCTGGAACGGCAGTCAACAGCTGGTATTGAAATCGGTAGCTGGAATAAGGGACTACCGGTAGTCGGTTGAGTTTTGAGGTGCTGCATGGTTAGAAGACTGGAGATTAACAGGTGGACAGCGAGCAACAGTGTTCTTGAGCTTACATTTGGGAAGAAGAGCGAGTGAAAGGATGTGAAGGAGGTGATTCTCTCTCTGTGCACAACAGGCAGAAGAATAGGCAGAATTGAAAAGTGAGAGAAAACCTGGAAGGAGGTAGTTTTGTGAACCAGAGTCTTGGGGGTCATCCGTGTGTGTGTGTGTGTGTGTCTGTGTGTGTGTGTGTGTGTGAGGCGAGGGGGAAGGACAAGGCCATCTGCCTGAACTTCTCTGCGTTGCCCCCCCTGAAGAGTATATTTGTCTAAAGGATATATATCTATATACACACACACTAAGTCACTTTTGGGCATGCAGTGAAGTGACGGCATCTGAAGGGGAGGCATTTTACTGCGACCATGGCAGAACACTTGGCTTCTATATTTGGAACAGAGAAGGATCGGGTGAACTGTCCCTTTTACTTCAAAATTGGGGCGTGCCGCCATGGCGATCGTTGCTCCCGCCTTCATAATCGGCCTAACGCAAGTCAAACACTTCTGTTTGCCAACATGTACCAAAGCCCCGATGCCAATATTCAGACAGGGATGGACCAGCAGGGGAACGTCCAGCAAGTGGATCCAAAAGCAGTACAGGAACACTTTGAGGTGAGCTTATCTGATGAGGATTCAATCCCCTCCCCTCCCCTCCTGGTTAACATCGGTATACTGTCAGAAGTGAAGGATTGGTTATACTGTCAGGTTTTCTATGGCTCCCCTCTGTGTTTTGAGCAGATTCTCATCATCAGTATGGTTTTCCTTTTTTCCCCACTCTTCTCCTTCATATGCTAATTGTCCATGTCCTCTCTCTTCCTTGCTCTTCCTCCTCCTCCTCCTCCTCCTCCTCCTACTGCTACTACCAGTTTTCTTCTTCTTCTTCTTTCTCTTCTTCGGGGTTCTTACCTTTGTGGCACGTTCTCCTTCTCCTCCTTTTATTTCCTATCTTCTCCTTTGGGTTGTTTTCTAGGGCCTTTCTTTTGATCGCTCGGGAGATGCTCATTTCTCCCATTGAATGTACGGAATTTCGATTCATAGATTGCAATTGATTAGCATTCTTTGTGGCATTGGTGCCAAAGAAATTGCCACTGATCATGCTGATGATGGGTGCTCTATCCTGTGCAGGACTTTTATGAGGACATATTTGAGGAGCTCGCTAAGTATGGTGAACTTGAATGCCTTCACGTGTGCGACAATCTTGCAGATCACATGGTAATTATGAGAGTTTGTCCGCTTGATATGTGATGACTATCGTGTCCGGCGCAAAAGTGTTTGTTCACTGTGTCATGTGCTGGGTAGTGGTATTAGCTGTGTATATGTACTGATTTATTCATAGTTTACGCTGCACACTAAGTCTGTGCTGTGCTATGTATGCTTGCAACTATGGAAAAAGCCTTTGTGCCATTGCTGCAGGTACCCACGGCTTGAGTTCAACCTCCTTATGACATGCCGCTACTGTTACATCTGCCAATAAATATTATTGACAATTTTGGTTCTTTTCTTTCTTCTTCTTAAATGCGTGGTTGTGTGCATTGATTGGTAAGTTGGCAAATTGGTGATCATCGGCTTGCTCTGTGCTTCAGATTGGGAATGTGTACGTCAAGTTCAATGAGGAGGAGCAGGCGGCTGCCGCTCTCCGAGGGCTACAAGGACGCTTCTATGCAGGTGCGTCCGCAAGAAGTGATAGCTGGTGGGGTTGTCATTCACCCCATTGAGGGCAGGGTTGCAGGATGAGCTGTGTACAGTGTAGGTAGCTCGGCTTCCTGGTCCTGCGGAGGTCTCCTGAGGCGTAGGGCATGTGTCTCTCCGTGAAGCTGACTTTGCCATTCCCATTTGGACCTTCCCACCTCTGTTTGACATCGCTGGGGTCCTGTTTCATCCTTCCTATGCACTGCGGGTGTCATGTTCCATCCTTCGTATGTGGTCATTGAAGGTCACATTGGGCCCCTTGTATGGTCCTTTGTCTTCCAATTTGGTCATCCCTTGACCTGTCGGGTCTTAATGCGGTTGTGTGTGTCTTCATCTTCACTTGTCCATTCGTGTCAGTATTCTCTTTGCTTGTCTGTATCTGCTTGCTTGTTAGCCCGACCATGTCTTATGTCCTCTCAATCTTTTGCAGTTCTGTCCCGATGCATTATTATATCTCCTTGCATCATGTCCTCTCATTCTTTTGGATCTGAAACGGAGCTTTCTCATTCCACTTGCCCATGTCAGTTCAATCAATCGTCCACAATCTTGTCCTGGCTGCATGCCAATCCTGTCTCGTTCGGCCTTTCTGGTCCCATGTGGTTCTTTCTGGTTGTGTGTGATCGTATCTGAGCTTCCTGTCATTAACAGTTATACTGAGCGTCCTCTCAGACCAGATCATGTTGTTCGGAATCGTGTTAGGCTCTGTCTTCTTCCCCAGGGCACTTCTTGTGCCTCTCGGGGAGTTCTTGGGTTCGTTTCACTCACATAGGGATCTCTCAGGTTCATTAGGTCTTTTTGGCCTTGTTTGGTTTGACACTGGTCGAATTACAACTTCTCTCATCTCATGTGACTCGTTTTTGTCCTTGCTGGCCCATTCATCTTCTTCGGTCCGTTTGGTTTCTTTCTGCGACCGTATGCTCTTTCAGAGCCCCCACTGTTTTTCTCTGGCTCCCATTGCTGCCCGCCCTCCCTGGCCCTTCACCCCCTCCTCAAGAAGAGAAAAAGCCCATCTATTGACTTGTGCATGTCATCCTTGTGTGGGCCCGCATGGCCCATGGAAACCTTCTCTTCATCATTCCACTCTTAGATCACCGCGGCATCGGAGCCTCGTTTTCCAACACTGGATTTTGAGCACCCCCTGGACTACTGAACCGTTGTGGCGATCGGGCCTGAAAGTGGTGCGGATATGTGCCGCACTTGTGCCATAATTGTTTGGACAGGTTAGCTGGGCTGGGCGGTGGTGGTTTAACCGATGTCCCAATTGGTCCTCGTTTGGCCCAGGTTGTCCTATCGGTCCGTCTTAGCTTCAATTGATCCTTGTTGTCCCTGTTGTGTTCTAGTCTCATCTGACTACCTCTGTTGTCATCTTTGGCCTTACTGATTGTGCACGGAGCTTCTGTCGCTGTCTGGACCCAAACGGTTCGCTCAGGCCCTGTGTTCTCTCCTCTTTGCTTTCTGGCTCCGGCCAGTGTCATATGGTCTTGTGTGCCATTTTGTCCCGGCTTATCTGTCGATGTCTATTTGTGGCCGATACGGTTCTTCCCTGTGGGATTGCGTCTTGTCTTGTCTGATCATGGGGAGAGTCTCAAGGCATGGATTTCGTTGGCATTCTTGGGGGGGGTGACCCAGAGGCAGGAGATAACACGTTCTCAGGGAGGGGGTGGGGTTGGTATGTGCTCAGACAACTTTCTTGCTGCCCCTTCCTGTGCCAGGTTGACGACGGCTGGGTTTGTGTTTCTGTGATATCTGAGCTTTGTCCGCATTACCATGGTGTTGGCAGTGAGAGGATGTTAACTGGATGTTTCTGCTTCCCTTTTGGGATTTGAAAGGTGAAGGGCTAGATCTGGCAGGGCAGACTTGCGGTTGTGGTTGTGGTATTGGGGTAGGAGAACTCCTCACAGGTGGGACGGTGGCTGCCTTTGGGTCGGCAAGAAAACCTAGTGAGCCCTTCGGTGGGTGTTGAGGTGACTAAGTGAACCTTTTGTTGAACACTAGATGACCTGTCGCGGCTTCACTCGCAAAAAAACAGATATGATGGGTGATGCATTCATGGTGTAGGCAACTCCCCAAATGCAATCTCTCTCTCTCTCTCTCTCTCTCTCTCTTTCTCTCTCTCTCTCTCCCCCTCCCACTCCCGCATGCACAGCTGCTGATCTTTCGGGAGCCTATCTCTATCTCCCTTCCCTCACCCCTCTCTCTCACATAAGACTGTCTCTATCTCTCTCACACTCTCTCTCTCCCATGTGGCACGATCTCACGACTTCAACCCCCCCTCCACCCCGACCTTTCTCTAATACTCCCCCTTTCCCCCTCCCCCCTTCTCTCTCTCTCTCACACACAAAAAAAATCCCCCAGAAAAAAATGGAAAAAAAAGGAAACGGAAAAGAGAACGCTCCATGTGGCACAGCCACGTGGCTGATCTTCTTTCTTCTTCTTTCTTTCTTTTACACAAACAGCAGCGGTTGAGATATCATCATTGAGCTGGCTCCCCCATATAATTCACAATTATTCTATTTCAACATCTGAGTTCGAACGGTCTGCATTTCAACAGGCTATGGTTGTATCAACTGAGCTACGCCCGTTGGTTGTCGTGTGCCTTTAACCCCCTCCCCACACACCTTCTCCTAACCCTCCTCATCTCTCTCTCTCTCTCTCTCTCTCTCGCACGCGCACACACACACACACACACACACACACACACACACACACCACACGCACACAAACGAACACAAAAAACAAACCGAAAAGAGAGGAAACTAAGAAAAAGATTGTGCCACCTTCCCCCCTGCTGCCCGCTTCCCCTAACCCACCCCTTTTCCCCCTCCCTCCATCTCTCTCCCTCCATCTCTCTCTCTCTCTCTCTTTCTCTCTCTCTCTTTCTCTCTCTCTCTCTGGCCGATCTCTATCTCCCTTCCCTCCTCCCTCTCTCCCACATAAGACTGTCTGCCTCTCTCTCTCTCCCACGTGGCACGATCTTGCAACTTTAACCCCCTCTCCACTCCGACCTTCCTCTAATCCTCCCCTTCCCCGCCCCCCTCTCTCTCACACACACAAAAACAGAAAAACAAAAAAAGAACGAAAAAGACGATCAAGCCACACACACCAGAAGAAAAACGAAAAAAAAGAAAACCCATCACCCTTTTCCCTCCTCCTCACCCTCTCACCTTCCCCCTCGCACACACAAAAAAAGAGAAACAATAAAAAAATCGAAAAAGATGATCGAGCCATACATGAACAAAAGAAAAACGGAAAAAAAAGAAAACTCATCTTCGTTTTCCGTTCTCTAACCCTCTCGCCTTCCCCTCCCAGGCCCCCCCTCTCCCTCACACACACAAGAACAAAAAAAAATTGAAAAAGATGATCGAGCCAGAAAAACGAAAAAAAGGGCAACAAAAAAGATGATCGAGCCACGTGGCTGTACCATGTACCGTGCCTTTTACCTCCTCTCCCCCCAAGTTCCCCTAACACTCCCCACGTGGTGCAGCCTGTGTCTCTTTAACCACTCCCTTCCCTCAAATGTGGCACCCGTCCTCCTTTCACCTGATCGCATCTCCCTGCAATGGCTGCACTTGTCCTGCGTTGTCCCGATCTTAAATCCCCAATGACTGCCACACCCATCTTCCTTTTTCCTCGTCCTTACTCCCCCACCTCCTCCTCTCCCTCCCATTGCATTTGGATCCGAAGACCTTTTCCGGCCTGGTCATCAAGAACCCAATCCCATCATAATGTCCTGTCGTCATGGCTGCTTGTTTCCCTCCCCACTCCTTCCTGATGTTGCCCTGCCTCTACTCATTTTCCCGATCAGTAGAGAAAAACGAAACCACTATAGCCTGCTTCTCCCATTTACCCCT